CCCAGGGGTGAGTCCTGGCTGCAGCAGGGACACTGTAGGGAGTTTCTGTTTTGTTTGCTGTTGATGAGCTTGAATTCGAGGATGTGAGACGGGGTATACCTGAGGTTTGCTGTGAGGTCCTGTGGGGACAGTGGAGGAGTCAGGATGGCCCTGCAGAGTAATAACTGTTGACATTGAATAAGGGGACGGGATGTCGTGTGTGTCTGAACATTTCCATGGGTACCTCGATTTTATGTAACCGTAGTGATTGTGGGTATTAAATGGAAAAAAAATCCACGCCAGTCAAAGTGATAATTTGGCAATTCTTATTGCTCCTTCGGTTTTCTTTTTCTTTTATTTTTTAAATTTCACTGGCTCATGAAATTGGAAAGCTCACCTCTTCCTCCTTAGAATGCAGCTTGGACTGGAGCTGACTGGCGAATGCAGGGAGGTTTTTGCTCGCTGGCTGGTCCTGTCACTGACAGGAAAGTTGAAATATAAGGCGAACAGCGTGTTTTCATGTCTTGCCCAGTGAGCGGATTTGTAGCTACTCGGTTCCCCTCCCGACTCTTCTAGATCCACGTTGTTGGTGCCTCTCCCGCCTTCACACCCTCTGTTCCGGGAGGGACTGCTCCCGGTAGATGTTCGTCTCCCTGCTCCGCGCCGAGAGGGGGGCCGACGAGGGAGTGGGGGGAGAGCCGGGCTCACCGGATGCCCTGTTTATCCTGCAGGTTCTGACACCCGTTCCGAGGACACGTTTTCAGTTTTGGTGATTTAACGGCCAAAGAGGAAGAGCAAATAAATGCATCTGCGTGCCCAGCGCCCCATCCGCCCAGCCTGGCCGAGACCCTGACCCATGCTGCAGCAACTGTGCGTCCCAGTCTCCCGGTCCCAGGTAAGCCATGCGGCGCGCGGGGCCCTGCGTACCTTTCGTTCGTTCCTGCTCGGGACCCGGTGGCTGACGCTCGGTGGTGAGGACTCTTAGATGATTCCCCTCCAAAAAAGGGCGTTTATTTCCTCAAATCATAGAACTCGTGCTTCTATTTTAAAAAGTAAGTTTTACAATTCTGTACTGTACAGACATTTTAATAGGCAAAGAAACTTGATCCATGTGCAAAATTAGATGCTTCATGACGATAAACTTGAGTGGTCCTTTCACCAGAGCAGAGGTTTTGGGGGGCAACTGATTAGTTGGTGCCCCTGTGGCAGGCATGTCGCCAGGGACCCGAGGGAGTCACCATTTATCTGATGGGAAGATATTTTTCTAACTGTGACCGGATGCTGAGTCCAGAGGCAGAGGCGTAGGGAAGAGAAGTGGGAGATGCCGCTGTAGCCGGCAGAGGTGATGGGGTTTCCTGACTGTTACAGCTTCTGTGGCTGCCCCACCAGCGCCCTCCCTGTGACCGGTGCTCAGCCGCCACCCAGTGCTGGTCGTCCCCCTAATTTCACACCCACCTGTGGCGCTACGTCGGTCCTTGTTTTACAAAGACTAGGAGACCTGTGGAAGTCACAGTGATTGTCCTTGAGCTCATAGCAAAAAGGGGATGGGACAGTGCAGACCTGTCATGTTCCAGAGCCTGGAGCTGCCACTGCCACTTTGCTCCCGTTGAGGCATCTTGAGTTTACTGTTCTGGTCCCCTCACTCTCCCTGCTCTCCTCTCTGACCTTTATAAAGGTGACCTCCCCAGCCACTGTCCCTGCTCTCCTTTCTGACCCTTATAAAGGTGATCTGTCCAATAATGCGGATGTAATTTAAAATGTTACGGCATCCACAGTAAAATGTAAAAAGAAGCAGGTGAAAGTCAGTTTCACAGTCTGTGTTATTTAACCCAATACATGTGAAATATCAATCCAGCACATAAGCAGTCTAAGACTTATTGAGGCGTTTTACGTTCTCCTACTTACAAGTCTTCGAAGTCTGGTTTGTGTGCTACACTCACAGCACATCTCGGTTTGGAACGGCCTCCTTCCACGTGGCCTTCGATTTGGAGAGAGTGGGTCTCAACACCCAAGTGTGCTCCTCTAAGTTGCCACACTGACTCCTTTATTACGTGGACTTGGGTATGTAACCAATGAGAATTGGTGTTTCCCTAATTTCGAGCAGACATTAGCACCCCACGGGTGCCTCTGGACAGGATGCACCAAGCGCTAAGTCCACAGTCACCCGTGGAAGAGGTGCACGCCCGGAGGGTGACCCGGCCTCCAGGTGCCACCACACCTGTCTGTCTAGCGCCCTTTGTGGAGGCACCTTGTCTTTTTGAGAGGAACAGCGTGGACTCACTGTCTCGTGGTTACCTGTGGGTCTCTGTGTTTTATGCTTCCCCTGTCGGGCTGGAAGCCACCCAGCGAAGCTTTTCATGGTGGCTAGTGTCCACAGTGACCAAAGGGGCTTTTCAGAGATGTACTCTGTTCCAGTAACAGGGACCTGGTTACCCATCGCTCCGTGTTCCTTCTTGTCCCCACAGTGACACACCATGCCCATTGTTGATAAGTTGAAGGAAGCCCTGAAACCCGGCCGCAAGGACTCGGCCGACGATGGGGAGCTGGGGAGGCTCCTGGCCTCCTCTGCCAAGAAGGTCCTGTTACAGAAGATCGAGTTCCAGCCGGCCAGCAGGAGCTTCTCCTACCAGCTGGAGTCGCTGAAGAGCAAATACGTGCTGCTGAACCCCAGATCAGAGGGCGCCGCTCGCCGGGGCGGGGAGGAGCCACAGGCCCGGAGGCAGGGTACGGGCGCACGGGGTGCTGGCAGAGGGGCCTCGCCGTGTGGGCCGAGTGGGAGGAGTAGGAACCAAAGCAGAGTGTGGTCAGAGTTGTGAGTTTCGTGTGGGGGCCGTGAATTTCGGAGGCAGAAGTAATGACACGGGGCTGGTCAGAAAGATCTGTGTCCCTAGGTTTCCTGGGAACGTGTGTGTTTCACAGGGTCAAATTGGGGCTTGGAAACAAGCAAGAGAAACGGGTGGGCTGCAGAGGCCCAGGCCTGGCCCCTCCGGCCCTTCGTTCTCTGCATCTCGTCCTCTTGTCCGTGGAGAGGCCTTGAATTCCAGACCTGCTCCATCTGGAAGATGGTGGGGTGGCTGGGCTTCCTCCTGGGCTCTCGAGGATCCCCCAGTAAATGGGAATGAACACCGGTTACCCTTCGCCGCCGTGTTCGGACAGATGTGTGCTGAGTACACGCCGGGGACTTCGTTCCGTGGTCCACCTGTGCGCAGACTCACATGGCCCTCTCTTCCCTGTCCCCGTCTCAGGCAGTGAGCATGTGTACGGGAGCGGTGGCGATGGTGTCCCCGCCCCCCAGAAGGTGCTCTTCCCCGTGGAGCGGCTGTCTCTGAGGTGGGAGCGCGTGTACCGCGTGGGAGCCGGGCTGCACAACCTGGGCAACACGTGCTTCCTGAACTCGACCGTGCAGTGCCTGACCTACACGCCGCCGCTGGCCAACTACCTGCTGTCCCGGGAGCACGCGCGGGGCTGTGAGTGACTGCGGGGAGGGCTCTGAGTCCTGGCACTAGGCAGACCTGCGCGCTCGTGGGGCCACGTGCACCCGGATCACACTTTGGGGTGAAGCTCACGACACCCAGCAACCGATAAACCCTGAGCTTCATGCCGCTGCGGGATAGGCCATGAAAGGGAGTCGCTCAGGGGGAGTGATGGTCTCCCAACCTTTCTGAGCGTAATCACCTGCACAGAACAAAGCGTTTTCAAACCATACCTCCGAGTACAGGGCAGGCAAAGTAGATTTACAGTTGTTCGTATGGAAAATAATACGATAATTAACAGTAATGCAAGAATGAACCCTGTTTCGTGCGCTCACGACTGTGAACCTCCGTTTGCCCCGCCCTGTAGGTATACTCAGTTATTTTATATGCCTCTTATTTTACTGGTGTTTTATCAGCTGTTAGGGAAATTACATCAGAACCTTTCCCTGAAGAAAACACCAGGCTGAGATGATTGACTGCTGAGTTTATGCAACTTTTAAGGACGCGAGTGTCCCAAGGCTCATAAACTCTCGCAGAGAGTAGAAAGGGGAGGGAGCTCGCCAGCTCCTCCCGTGAGGTTTGTGCAGCTCGGATAACACCACGAAGCAAGCACAACGTGAGAGGGAGGAGATTACAGCCGCCTTGTTTGTGGGTGTAGATGTCAGCGTTCCACACGACACCGGCGAACGCCTCGGGCACCGTGGGTTCATCCTGGGGGTGCAGGATGCCCTGGCCCTGGAGCGTCGCTGAGCCGGCTGCCCCCCGGCTCCGCGTCCTTGAGAATGTCACCTGACCTCTTGGAGTTTCCCGTCCCTCACCCACAGTAGTTAACACTGTCCCCTTCAGGTGTTGTGGGGTGCAAACGAGTCACGCGTAGTGCTCGGGCTGGTGCTCGGCACACGGTCGTCACGTGGACACTTGGGTTGCGTCTGCGCGTTTGCTCTTGCGATCCGCTGTGAGTTGGGCGCCCACGTCTCCCAGACCCTGCCTCTCCTCCCTTCTGTGTGTGGACCCAGAATGGAGCTGCTGGGTCACATGAGAATTCTATTTTTAAATTTTTGAGGGACTGCCAACTGTTTTTTATAGTGGCTGCACCGTTTAAATTCCCACCAACAGTGCACAGGGGTTCCAATTTCCCACATCTTTGCCAACACAGATTCTTTTCTGTTTGTAAATACTAGTTTTTTTCTTTTTTTAAAATCTCACCCGAGGACACTTTTCATTTTTTTTTTTTTTTTTTTTTTTTTTTAAAGAAGGAGGGAGAGGAACATCGATGTGAGAGAGAAATATTGATCGGTTGCCTCCTGTACGTGCCCCGACCCAGGACTGAGACACAGCTTAGGTATGTGCCCTGACCGGGAGTTGAACCCAAGCCTTCCTGCGGTGTGGGGCAGCACGCCAGCCGGTGAGCCACCTGGCCCGGCGGCACTAGCATCGTTGTGTGTGCAGTAAACAGGCTGCGGGCCGTCCTGTTATTGATTCCGGGGTCTGGGAGACGGACTGGAGGTGCCGAAGGGAAGGCAGATGGGTTGGTGTTGGATCTGGCGTTAGGGGCCGGGTCTGTTTGCAAAGGTGGCGCTGTTGACGAGACAGCAGCATCCTCGGTGCGCAGGGCGTGCTTGCCCTCGGGGACAAGGTCACGTGCACGAGGACAGGCTGGGCAGCCTCGCTGTGACAGCGAGTGGGGGTGGCGTTCCCAGGCGGGGCGCAGTGGCTGCGCTCGGTCCCCTCGGCTCGGGGAACCCTGTGCGAGCGAGGCTGAGCGGCTGGCGGGCTGAGCAGCGGGCTGCAGGGGACGGAGAGGAAGCCCGCGAGGCTGCAGTGACGGTGACGCGGGGGCCAGGCCTGCGGCTCTCCAGTGCCTCGCTGACAGCCTAGAATGGGTGGAGCTGGGTGGTGGGAGTCATCGCACTTCAGTCTAAATGCCTCCTAATTTTAGATAAAGGTAAATGGTACCCCTGTCTGGCCTGGTGCCTGGGGAGGAACATAGTTTCTGGCTGATGGACTTGGCCTGTGGGGTGGGCTGCCTCCCGCCTTCGTCGGCGTCCGCCGCCCAGCGCATCCCGGCACTGTCCTCTGGCAGGGCCACAGTCGGCACCGTGTACAGGGCTAGTGCCCGCAGACCAGGCGTGTGCACCATGTGGGCTTCACAGGAGCTTCCTGAGCCCTGACGCCAGCGGGCGTCCCCTAGAGGCAGCAGTGCAGGCTGGGGGGCGTCTAGGTGCCCCCACTGTTCCAGCCTGTTGACCATGTGACGTGGCTGAAGTTAGAGGAAACATTTTCCAGAACTTCCCCTTGAGTGTCAGACATGCTTTTCTTGTCAGTAAATAGATTAAAAAAACATGAGAAGGATTTACAGGGGCCAACACACGAGCCTTGGGTCCTGGGTGAGTTAGAGTCGCAGCCTCAGTGGGTCGTAACCCCAGTGCCCTCCTTCCCTCCCCCACGGCAGGCAGTCCCCAGTGGTCCCTGAGCCGCCACGGGGTCTGGTCTCCGGCTGCACTGTCACAGGCCCCTCTGTTGTGTATGCGGGGGGGTGCCCTCACATTGCCCCCATCCCCCTGCAGGTCTCCAGGGCAGCTTCTGTATGCTGTGTGTCATGCAGAACCACATCGTGCAGGCCTTCGCCAACAGCGGCAACGCCATCAAGCCGGTATCCTTCATCCGGGACCTGAGAAGTGAGTTCTGGACCTCCTGCCTGTAGCAGGTGCTGGGAGGGTGGGTTGGGGGGATGGCGCCCCGAGACTTCGTGGAGCAGGTGGTGCACACTGAAGGCTGTGGATTCCAGGCTGCTGTGGCCAGGTCCGTGGGGATGGCTTTATCGTGGAGTCGGGGGCAGGTGAATGCGAGTGAGAGCTGGGTGATGGACAGTGGGTGAGGCCTCTTCTGCCTGTGAGCACATGCTGTCCAAGTCATGTCCCTCCCATCTGTATTGCATCGGCTCGGGACCAGCGGGTCATGGGTGGATTTATAGTCTCAGTGCCGGGCATCCCGAGCCGTCTGCTCCTCTGTCCAGTGGGGAGGGTTCAAGCCCTTAGGTCTCACTGAGAAAGTTGTGCCTTGAGGGACCGAGAGTGGGACATCATAGAGTATGTGGGGCTCATCTCCTCACTGCCCTTTGCAGAGGTCGGCTATGGACAATGGGTCAGCAGGGAGGTGGGTGTACACATGCAGGTGTCTGAAGAAGGCTGGGGCTCCCCCTCCGGTCTGATGGGCGCCTCTTCCCTCGGCAGAGATCGCCCGGCACTTCCGCTTCGGGAACCAGGAGGACGCCCATGAGTTCCTGCGGTACACCATCGACGCCATGCAGAAGGCCTGCCTGAACGGCTTTGCCAAGTACGCGCCTCCCTCGCGCCTTTCCACCCTGGAGGGGCCAGCCCCCCCCCCCCGGGGTTCCTCTGGGCTGGTGCATCCAGGTCCTCCACCTGCTGAAGCTCAGACGGGCTGCACATGCTCCTCGGGAAAGGCCTCTCCTGTACCTTCCCTCAGCCCGGGCGGCGTGGCCGGGACCGGGCAGTGGTGGCCACGCTGTCCCCGCAGCTCATCAGCTCACTGGAGGGGAGGCTCTGGCACATTTCGGGGCCTTCACTGTGGGTGTTTCCCATCTTTGTTAAACCATCCGTTGTTCTGACACAGGACGGGGGTGGGAATGACAGTGTTTTTATGGAGGAGCCTGAAAGCATGCTGGGGATTTGAAGGCAGGAAGGTGGTGATTTTTGACATTCACTCTGCCCAGTTGCTGTGTCTTAACTGCAAGTTTGAGAGCACAGACCAAGCACGTGACACATTGACAACTTTGTGCCCTTGTCAAACGGTGACTGTCAGGAAGGTTTTCGAATCGTCCCTGGGTTTGTGGGTTCAGACAATAGGCAGGAGCTGCTTCCTGTTTCATGGCTGCTTCCTGGGCTTGGAACACAGCTCTCAGAGCTCAGGGCCTGTGTAAGCTCTGTGGTGGAGGGCCACCTGCCCCCAGGAGCACCCCATGCTCCTCTCACCTCCAGGAGGCCTCCTGGGGGGGTTACCCCAGGGCTTGCACCTCGAGGAATGTGGCTGGGCTTGCGAGGCCTGCAGAGGCAGGTGGTGCTATGCAGGTGGGCGCGGCACGTCTGCAGTGGCTCCAGCCCTTCCCAGGGTGGAGTCACCTGGGAGCTCTTAGGACCATAACTGGCCCTGACCCCATGCCAGGCCCATGAGCCAGACTCTGGAGGTGGGAGAATTTGGGAGGGGTGGGATGAGGGTAAGATGGACTAGTTTGGGTTTGGGGCTGAGGGCAGGGAGGAGTCCAGGCTTGTGATCTGGGCAGCAGGTAAGTGGTGAGCCACGTATGGTGCGTGTCACAGAATCCAGCAGGCACTGGTGGGGCATCCGGTGCCACATCCGGTGAGCCAGGCGTGGCCGGGCACCCGTGCGGGGGGGAGTGGGACACTTGTGGACACCCATCCATGAGAAAGCGTTTACTGGTCTGTAGTGAAGGGAGAGAAACTTTAGGACTGGTGCAGGCGTGGTCTCGCACAGTGACTTACCCCATTTAACAGCAGGTGGATGGACGGGCCTTTTGTTCATTTGAGCAGAGTGTCATATTTCTGTTCTTTGCAAACACTCCCTGTGCAGTGCCACGGGGCCTGCTCGTGCTGTGGGGCAGTCTGCGTCTGTGACGTCGGTGCTGCGGGACTGTGGTGGTGTCTCCTGTACCCGAGCACCCTCCTTCTCTCCTGGTCTCTGCTGAGAATGGGGCGTCTCCCTGCTCCTCCATGGCTGCTGCTTTTTATGAAAGTGGTTGTGTTTGGACACTCAGGACCCCACGTCTTTGTGCAGATCTATAGCTGTCAGCGTCACAGAGTGGCCTGCGTCACCGTTGGATGCTCTTTGGCTCGGAGTCTGTCCCCGCCCGGCTCACAGCCCTGCCCATCGCCTGGCCCTTTGGTCCTCTCCCAGCGCCTGAAGCGCTTTGCTCTCGGCGCCTCCGGTCTGTCTGGGGATCTGTTTGTTCTATAGGGAGCTTCAGCCCCTCACATTCATTGTTGTGGCTGAAGTTTGGTCTTGACTTGGCCGTTTTATTTTGTTTTATGATTATTACAGAGATCTTGGCTGTGCTTATTTCTCTGTCTGGTTTTGCTTGTTTATGTCAAACTTCCGTTCGGCGTTTCGGGAGACCTGCACTTGGTTCTGGTGACGGCTACATGTGTCCCTGGTCTTTCAGAACCTCGATTTAGTCAGTTTCAGCGGTGTGTGTACCCTGCTTCCTCCCTTCTCCCTGCTCCTAAATCTTGGTCACATTATTTCTTATTCTGTTGGGACAGACAAGATTTGTTTACCTTCCTCCCACATTGGTCCCGCTTCTGCTTCCATCTTCGTCTCCTGGCCGCCCCAGGTTGGGCTGCTGGGTCCCAGAGCCTGAGGCCAGTCCCCCTCTGCCTGTGATGGTCAGTGTTTGATCTTTCTGCTCAGAGGCCTTCAGGGTCCCTTTTTGATCTTTACAGTCTGGTGCTCTCACCGGGACTGTCCCGGAGCTGATTGCTGTTGGCCACTTTTCCCAGGTACCAGGTACTGACCAGTGACCGGTGACTGTGGTGGAGACGGACTCTGGAGATATGTGAACAGGAAGATGTTTTTACCAGCATGAGAGGCGGCTGGTGTCTGGGCAGCTCTGCCCAGTGTCGGGGTTTGAAAACATGCAACAGTAACTCAGGCAGATGTGGTCGGTCAGTGCGACAGGCCGCCCAGTGCGGCGCTTTCTTTGTGAAATGTGTACGGCCAGTCTCTATCACCGGGGACAGTGCTCTCCCTTTGGTGGCAGTCCCCACTGACAGGAAAGGGACTGTCTCCTTGGGAGCACACGCTGGTGTTAGTCCCGTTAGTCTAATGTCTGGAAATCTTCCTCGTGGGCTGGTTCTACGTGGCCGTCGGTGTGTTTTGCTCTGTCGGGGTCTCCCGCACTCAGCCCTCCGCTCGCCCTGTTCTCCGACGGCTGTCCTGCCCGGGGGTCATCCTCCCGCCGCTTCCTTCTCGCCGCCTTGCTGGGCTTTCATCTGAGCTCTTCTCGACGGGCTCCTTGTAGTTCAGCCTTTGTTTCTCAAGTCATTCTTTTCCCCCCGTTTTCTTCCTGAGTACAATTAACTTTCTTTCTTAATGTGTAGTTTGAAAACATCTTACTCGGGTGGTCTTTGCGTCCCGGACAGCCGTAGCTCAGCTCGGAGTTCTGGGTGGCTCCTCCCTGCTGTTTCATGCTTGTTTTCTGGGGCCGATTCTCACCCGATGATGGGCTTGCTTCTGGTTTGCAGTTTCCTGCTTGAAGTGCCTTTGCATGGATTTCAGCTGTTTTCACTTGTCCCGGAATTCGGTGACTTTGACTTGCACAGTTGGCACAGGCGCCCCCTCCTGCCGGCCCGGGGAGGTGCGCGCCGTAGTGGAGGCCGAGGGCTGGACGGAGCCGGTGGAGGGGACGCTTGTCCTCGGAGGGAGAGGGCCACACTGTCTGGCGGGCACTGCCGTGTTCCCTGTGCAGTTTTAACATTTTAAATAAGAAGATAAAAAGTTGATTAGATGTGTGTCCTGGAGGTCGTGACTCTGAGGAACAAGTTGCAGATTCAGTGAGTTGCGAGTGACACCCAGGAGCTGAGGCTGGATGTGGTGTGTTGCTTCCAGAACCTTCCTTACATGGCAGCAGTGGTGTCCAGGTGCTGTGCTCTGGATGGTTAGTAAACAGGCTGGGAGACTTGAATGCAGGTTTGTCCGACCTTGAGCCCACGCCTGGGACCAGTGCTGTCCTGCCGAAAGGACCCGCCTGGGGGCATTTGTCTCAGATAAGGGGCTGGTACAGGCCACAGCCAGTGGAGAAGTGGTGGTGACCATGCAGGACTGAGGGGGTGGAGCTGAAGGGGTGGGAGTGTGGGGGGCAAGGTCACCTGCTGAGGGGTGGAGAGGGATCCTGAAGGCTTGAGGGGGCAGTTGTGGGGAGCAGGCCATGTAGATCAGAGCAGTGTGGAGAGCCCACCAGGCACCACGGGGGGTCCTGCTGAGACCGAGGCTGGGTGTACCGGACTCCTGGCTGTGTGGGGAATGTCCGGGTGTCACTCAGTGGGCGGGGTGCTGGGCGCGGGGCTGCTGGTACCTGTCACTGGCTTGAAGGCTGTGGCCTCCTTTCCAGGTTGGACCGTCAGACGCAGGCGACTACTTTGGTCCATCAGATTTTCGGAGGCTATCTCAGATCGCGTGGTACGTGGTTTCTCTCTACCCCTCTTGTCAAGGGACGGGAAGGTTAGCCTGCAAAGGCTGAGAGCTGACACCAGCTGGGCTCTTTCCTGGGGAAGCCCCGAGGCCGGAGTCTGGGCTCAGACTCGCCCGTGCCCCGTGCTTTGCCTGACAGGCGCACTATTCCTGGGAGGAGGTTTGCAGCAAAACATCAGGCATGTGTAGAGCGAAGGCAGCACTGTTTTTCCTGTGACTCCCTTAGTCCCTCAGATGTGACCTCTGCCCTCCAGGGCAGTGAGGACCTGGGGGTGCCATGGGCTGTCAGGGAAGGCGGCCCACCTCAGGGTGGCATCGGGTTTGACGTACGTGGTCTTGTGAACTCGGTGTCAGTGAGCTGTCTCTCCGGATACCGGGGGCACCTCCCAGTTCTAGGACTCGGACACCTGTGGGGGGCAGTGATGCCTGCACCTGCCCATCACCCCCTGTTCTGTTGCAGTGAAGTGCTCCGTGTGCAAGAGCGTCTCGGACACCTACGACCCCTACCTGGACGTGGCGCTGGAGATCCGGGTACATACCGTGGTTCCGTTTGTAGCTGGACCAGAGGACAGAGGGCGAAAATCCCCAAACCACACAAGCCCACAAGGGCCCATTGTGCAAATAGATGAGTCAGAAACACTTAGAACCTTCCTGCCTTAAAGTAGGAACTGCCATTTCTGCATATTTCTTTCTAGCTGGTTTTCTATGTACATTTTTTCATTGAAAAAATAAAGATAAGATGCAAGTGTGTGTCATGAGGCACCGTAGGGGCCCAGGCCGTTCCTGCCACCCAGCAAGGTCATCTCTGCCTGAAGCTCAGAGCAAACCCAGCTGCAGCCTTGAACTCGGGGCCGGTGCCTGTGGGCAGCCTCTGCTCAGACTGCTTGTCAGTGGGGAAGGGAGGGGTGGCAGCCCGGCTCCTCCATCCTTTGCGATAGGATTTAAGCCCCAGAAGGCGGCAGCTAGTGGATCAATTTCTATGCAAGAGGAGCGTTGGGATTTGCTGTCTCAGCCTGAAAAGGCCTTACGGTGGCAGTTCTGGAGGGAGCCTTTCCTTCCGCGGCTTATTCTTACCCTCTCCCCCGGTTCGTCCCCCTCAGCAAGCTGCAAATATTGTGCGTGCTCTGGAGCTCTTTGTGAAGCCAGATGTCCTGAGCGGAGAGAACGCCTACATGTGTGCCAAGTAAGTTTAATTTTGCTCACGGCCCAGAGACCAGGGCTGCCAGAAAGACGTAGAAGAGTCACGTCACCCGGCACTGCTATGCACCGTGTCCCCCAGAGGTGACCCTGCTCACATTTCTTGAGAACAGTCCATCTGTCTTTCAATGAAAAACCTCTGGAGGACGCCAAAGAGGCGCCGCGTGGTCTCTGTGGCAGACAGGCGCACAGCACTCGGTGCTGCTCCAAGTGTCTCACTGTGTCCACGTGGGAGGCGGGCCCTGCAGTGGCCCCATTTCACAGAGGGGCATGCACGTGGCTGTGGGCTGCAGTCCCGCCTCTTAGATGACCCTGTTCTGTGGCTGCTATTTCTTAGGTTTTCTTGGCATTTTTCCCCCTCGGCAGGTGTAGCTCTGGCCCTGTTCTTCCGGGGGCTGTGCCATCTCAGTGTGTGGCTGTGTTTGTTACTGTGTATTTAGGTCATTTAAAAGCTGTTTTCTTAATTCTGCTTTTCTGGTTGATTGTTCTGCGCGAAAACACTGCCTTTAGCGCCCCCTACACCCGCCCCCTGTGCTCCGGGAGCTGTCTGTCCGTTTGCCGCTGTCCCTGCCCCTTCGTTTCCTGTCTCTGGCTTCACTCGCTCGGAGTCCCTCTCGCCCGGCCATCGCGCCACCATGTCTGCTCTGGTTGGTTCTTTGCCCAAAGTTACTTTTCGTGCCCTGGCCTGTTTTGCTCAGTGGTTAGAGCATCAGCCTGTGCACTGAAGGGTCCCTGGTTCCATTCCAGCCAAGGGCACGTTCCTCGGTTGCAGGCTCGATCCTGAGCCCCAGGTCGAGGTGTGTGCAGGAGGCAACCCATCGGTGTGTCTCTCTCACATCGGTGTCTCCCTCTCTCTCTCTCTCTCCCACTCTCTCTGAAAAGCAATGGAAAAAATATCCTCAGGTGAGGATTAAAAAATATAATAGTAAAAAATAAAAACAAGTTACTTTTCATGCCTCTGAGCCTGGAGTCGGGAAGGTGCTCTAGTTTGCTCTGCCAGTTCCCCAGGACGCCTGGCTTTCCTTTCCTCAGTGGTGTCGGTTTGGTTGTTAGGGGTGTGGGAGCCACAAGTCTCATCTTAGGCGGGCCTGTCGCTACAGTGCAGTGCAACCATTAACCCGGCGCGAGGACAGTTCCTCGAGCAGGAGCTGACACCCCCTCCCTTCCTCAGATGCAAGAAGAAGGTGCCGGCCAGCAAGCGCTTCACCATCCACAGGACCTCCAACGTCCTGACCCTCTCCCTCAAGCGTTTCGCCAACTTCAGTGGGGGCAAGATCACCAAGGTGAGTGCTCACCGAGGCATCTGTCTCCTCAGCCGGCTGCTCTTTAAAAATACAGGTTCCGGGCTCTACCCCAGAACCAACAAGTTCAGATCCTGGGAGACAGGGCCCAGGAATCTGCATTTTTGTGAAATCCCTAAATGGTTATCACACAGTCAAGTTCAAGAACCACTGTCTCACTAGACTTTTTTCCCCAACCTCTGCCTGTTCTTGGGCTGCTCCTGATGTGGAAGGTCAAGGTCATTTCCTTAAGGGTGAGTGTGGACTGTGAAGCTCTGGTCCTTTGTGTCCTGTGTGTGTCTAAAACAGGTGCACTCACTTGCTGTGGCTTTTAGTGAAATGTGGAGTAAAAGTTGATTTTACACAGTGGCATTTCAACAGCAGGTGTCTTGTTGCATAAAAGTCTAGACATCTGTTGTCAGAGCCTCGCTATATGTTTTGGGGCAAGGCACTCGTCTGAGCCTCAGTGCCCTTACTGGCAGTGGTAGGGGACTTGCTTAGATCAGCATATCTCCCTAGTTGGTGTTCTGCAGAATGTCAGTATTGCATTTTGAAAAAGTGTTCTGTGTTCAACTGAGTTTCAGAAATGCCAGTAGTTTTTCTTAATTGCAGGCCTTCTCAGAGCCTTTATTGAGCTTTATAGCATTTTGAATCTCCCAGAGGGGAATTTGTTGTGACGAATTTCTGAACCTAGTTTTCTGGGGAGTCATCCATTCATTCATTTTACTAGTAATTACGAACTTACACTGCACTGTGCCATGCCAGGCACCGGGAAGTCAGTGGGAAGTCATCGGTGGTGAATGAGGTGGTGTGCATTTGCCCCGAGGCACTCATAGAACTAGTTTCCATTGGAACACAGTTTGAGGGTCGCGGGTCTGTTTGATCCGGGGGCCGTGTGTGTGTCCAGATTGCACTGGGGCTCTTGAGCCTAGGGTGTAAATTGGCTTTGGAGGTTTTGAGTTTGTTGGTGGAAGGAAAGGGATAGGTAGGTAAACATCACAGATGGTATGTTGATCTAAAGACGCCCGACACAGAGAAGCACAATCTGTCTGATTCTGGTGTTATGAAGCTGAGGAATGGACAGAACTAGTCGATGGAGAAATCAGAACAGCGGCGATCGGGGTCGGGCACTTACAGGAACTCTCGGTAGGCTTTTGGGTTGATGCTGTATCGTGATGGGAACATGGGTCACAGTGTATACCTGTCAGAGCCATCAAACTACACTGAGAGCCGTGCATTTCGCCCTGTAAGTTACGCTCTTTAAGGAGAAGCCTGTGCAGGCAAACACGCAGGTACGTCACCGCTCCTGTGGCCCATCAAAGATAGTTTATGAAAATATTTTGCTGTGAAAAACTGCCCGTTTCTGAAATAAATGTTGCACGACCTTTGTTCTGACCCGCTCCGGTGAGATGGAACCACTGCGGCCCCTCCGAAGGCCTGCCCCGGCGCCTCGCGGCGCCCTCCCCTGCGGAGCCCCGTGGCGGCGGGGACGAAAGTCAGAAGACGCCCTCCTCTGCCTCGGTTTTCAGCCGTGGACTCGGGGCCCCGCCAGCGTGGCCGGGCGCCCTGCTGCCGCGCTGTTCAGGGCCAGCTGAACGTGCGCCCTCTGTCCTGGGCGGAGAGGCCGGCTGGCCCTGCCTCCCAGCGGTGAACTTAGCCCCCTCCTTGGCTCCTCCCACAGGACGTGGGCTACCCGGAATTCCTGAACATCCGTCCGTACATGTCGCAGAGCAGTGGCGAGCCCGTCACCTACGGGCTGTACGCAGTGCTGGTGCACTCGGGCTATAGCTGCCACGCTGGGCACTACTACTGCTACGTGAAGGTCAGTGGCTCCGCTTGCATAGGGGGCAGGGGTCTGGGCACCCCGGCCCCGGTGCTGCCTCGGTGTGGGGGTGCAGCGACTCAGACGGCCCTGGCATCCACAGTGTTCTTGGACTCATGGAGAGGCTCTGGATGGGCTGCTCCCAGGGCCCTGGCCCTAGAACCCTGGAGACGCCCAGTGTCGGTGGGAGGTGCTGTGCTGATCAGAGCTGCCAAAATGTCCCTCGGGAGGGAAAGCTCGGGTCTGTGGATCCAGGAGAAGGGGGCACTCGGCGCACCGTGGGTCACATTCAGAGTGAGAGGAGCATGAGACGTGTTAGCGTGGAGTCGCTGCTGGTTGCGCAGCACCTGGATGTGTGTGGCAGTTATCAGCAGGTGTTTTATACCCTTTTCAAAAGTGAGGGTGATGGGATCTGGTGTTTGTTTCGTCTTCCCTACACCCTGGCGGCTGCAGGCGAGCAACGGGCAGTGGTACCAGATGAACGATTCCTTGGTCCATTCCAGCAACATCAAGGTGGTGCTGAACCAGCAGGCCTACGTGCTCTTCTACCTGCGGTAGGCACCCCTCGCCCCTCGGTCCCTCTGCTCTGCTGCACACACTGCCCACGGGCCTTCCCCGCCGGGGGACCCCGAAGGCGGGAAACTGAGCTGCGCTCCTTCCACCCGTCGTGGGTGTGGCTGTGTCCCCCAGGAGGGACACTTTAGACCACGTCCGCCTGGCTATTAAGTAAAAGCCAGAACCTCTGGGAAGGTCGGCACAGGGTTCCACCTGCCCCCCATGGAAGTGACTATGAATGTAATGGGAAGGTTACCTCTTCTCTTACTGCACCAGTGGGAGATACTGGCTGGCCAGCACCCCTTCCTCTGTGGCAGTGCTTGTGGTGGGACCTGAAGTAGCTGTCAGAGGGGGAGGCTCAGTTGTC